TAGAATCCTCATCCAATTCTAATTGGTGATAGCCCTTATTGAGATCGAGTTTTGAAAATATTTTGGCATTATGAAGATCATTAATCAAATAATCAACTGTAGGTGTGATATGTCTCTCACATTCGATAGCAGTATTGGATGCACGCATATCAATACATAATCTCAGCTCTGTTGGATTTTTAGGTTTGGGTGATGCTACAATTGGTGAAATCCATGGAGTAGGACCTTCAGCTGGTTCAATGATATCTAAACCCAATAATTTCTTGATTTCATCTTCAACTTGAGTTCTAAGTTGAAATGGAATCCGCTTGTGTGGTTGTGTGACAGGTTTGACTGAATCATCAATGTGTAGATGAACTTTGTAATCTTTAAGTTTGCCATGAAATATATCTTGATATTCTTTAGGAGTATCCTTAATTGTATAGTTGACTGTAGGTATCTGTATAAGACCTAGTGCTTCAGCTGTTTGGAAACTTAAGAGAGAGTCATTACTATCAGCAGCCACATAAAATGTAGTTATTGTGGTCTTATCTTTTTGAGGATTAGTTACATAAGAGTCAAACTTCACTGTATACTTTGAGGCATAGGCAAATAACTGTAAACTTGTTGGTTTGAGTGATACTGGTAAGTTTTCATATGTGGTTCTACCCAACACATCAATACTAGTGCCTGTGTCTAGAACCATTTCAGCTGGTATTTTCAATTTACCAATTCTAATTTTAACAGTTGGAAGTATAGATTTCCTATTTGTGGAAAATATGTAATCTTTTTCGTCACTTGAGGAGTTAACAGTTGCTTTGGTAGGTACTGAATTAACCTTGTGTGATTTGGGTTGTCTTCCTTAAAACCTGTGTGGACGGATGGACATGGGTGACAGCAATATACGCCCCCCATCTCATGTGGGCATATAAAAATGATTTTGAATACCACATTTGGAACATTCTTTCCCTCTTGCAGGACATTTGCTCATTCCACCATCATGAGGCCAGTTTCCACCACAGTGATTGCAGGAAGTGTAAAAATGTAAAGGTTTGGCAGTGTTGAATTTCTCTCGTTTGGAAAATCTTTGAATTCCATTTATATCCTCATGTGTTTCACGTTGTTGAGACTGAATCTTAGGTTGAGACTTATTCATCTCAGCAATTTGTTGATCTGCTTGTCCAGCAGCTCTGCCTTGTGCTAGTATTCTTGATAGGTCAAGTTCTGGATCTCTGAGTGCAGATTTTCGTAATTTTATCGATTTGTTAATTTCTCTTTCAACATTATCAAATCCACAATTGAGTGATAATTCATGAGGGCGTGTGTGGAAACTATCAAGTGTCTCTTCAGGATTCTGTTTGGCTTCTCAAAATGTAAATATTTCAAATTCCACATTATTTCTTGAATTAAAATAAGCTGTCAATTTATCCTTGAATGTTTTATAATCTTCCCCAGTGTCAGGTAAAGTCTCGAATATATCATAAACTTCATCACCAGCATAGTGTAAAAGTAAAGCTTTCTTTTATCATCAGTGATAGCATAACCAACCAACATGTTTTTAAATCTTGACAAATATTTGGCCCAGCGTATACCTGCAGTGAGATGAGAATCCAGTTTGCTGTTTACAGGAAAACTTGTAAATATTGGTAGAGTAGCATTTATCATAAATCGTAATTTGTGGAGCTTAACGAATGCCTTTGGGTTGAGATGTCCAGAATGTTCTCTGCGAAGTGTTCTTCGAAAATCGACAAATGGAGTAGTTTAGAGTGTGAATTCTACCAATGTTTTACATTTGCTGCATGAATCTGGAGCATAGCTAGATTTTTACCATTCTCGTCGCCATTGTCATGGTCTGGGTCGTGGGTCAGACAGAGAAAATAAGACTAAATTAAAATATTATTATTAGTCAGCCATGCGGGTATAGTACATATATTCGACATGGATTTTTATAAAAAAATTTAAAAAAATGGATTTATATTAACACAAAGACATTCTAAGACTAACAGTACTATTTTGAGTCTGATATTCCCATTCTCCTAAAAAATATTGAAAATATTCAAAAAACTTTTTAATTTGTTGACAATAACCCTTTTTAAACAAATTCAGTTTGATCAAGGAGATATATACATATAAATAACATACTTTAGAAATATTTTCAGGTATATTTTACGTCGTTTTTGATATTGAAAACTTTTTACAAAAAAGCGGTATACCCGTTAAAAAGTACATTTTAGCATTATCTGTATGACTATGACAATTTCATGGTCAAATTATTTAGTTTAAGAATATATTTTAAATACATAGCTAAATAGTTTTGACCAAAGGGAAACTACTCTATTTCAAATATTCATTTTTATCACAGTCTTGATCCAGAAATGTGACAAATGACTAAATTTACATCAATAAAAAGTTAAAAGGATTCAGGATACAAACATATTTGATAATTCTTCTGATAGGAAGCTACCTGTATCACTATTTATAATTAAAATCAGGGATGTCCCTTGTTCCTTAGTTCTGCAAATCAAGAATAAAAACTTAAAGGCTAGACGATGCCATTTACAGTAGCAATGCAAACAGAAAATAGAAATAATTAAAATAAAATAATTTTGTTCTTGTAGATGGATTATGGTGTACTAGCAGTTGGAAAAAGTGAAAACAGAACCAAAAAATATTGAAAAATAAAAAAGTTAAAAAAAATATTTAAGGTCTTTAAAATGTGGGCGTGGCAAATGAAATTTGTTCTCTTTTTCCTTGAAATACAACCCGATCGCATAACTTGGTCATTTCTGATGATAAAATTTTGAAATTCTACATGGAAATATATTTATATCTCCTCTTGATAAATTATACAGAATGAGTTCCTACATTCCCAAATTTGAATTGGTTAAACACACACATCGGATAGGCCTACCAATTAATGATAAAGTGAAAGTAGACCTTCTGATCAAATAATTGAAATAATATGAAATTATCCGCTCAAAATATACTTTAAATTAAGAAATGATAGTTTTAAATCATTTATGAGTTTAGTGTTTCATATAAATTGAAAGTTCATGAAATCAACTTCAATTTTTCGCTTTTGTTACGCTTCAAGGGTGTTCCAAAATGGTCGCTATTACCACTTTTTTATGCTTGAATTTTGATATTTCACCTTCTTGGCTAAGTTTAAATGCTGATTTTTTTTAGTATTACAGTCAAGTAACCTAATTTTGTGGAAACCTATTATTCGTGAATTTGAAGGAATTGTCACTAGTTATAATGAATTGATATTGAAGATAAATACTAAGAGAAGTTAATTATACCACCCGGTATCCATACAACGTGTTTTTCTCGACTTATTTATGCATCAAACATTGTACACGAAAATAGGTGACGCATTCTGCCGCCGTTGCCGAGTTGGTTGCTCATGAAATATGGATCAAAGTGAAGGATTCATAAAGAAAATCGAAATAAACCAATTTCTATTATTTTGTAGAATATCTGAGGAAACATCTAAGACATAAAAAATTTTTTTCGTTTTTTTAACTTTGACGAAATTCGGTGTTGAATCCTTATATACACGAAAATAGGTTACACAACTGTAATTAAAAATAGGAACCTATAATATATTTCTAATGGGGTCTCATATGCGAATCGAATTTTAACACACTTTTCTGGCTATGTCATCTTTTCAATGTAGAATATTTCCTATAAAAATAAAAAGTTTGAAGTGAAACTTTCGATTTCGCCAAGATTGACATGTAACAGAACACCTACTTTTTGGGGTTGTCATTTTGGCCATTTTTACGATAGGCAATTCGCAGCGTCACCACCGGTCGTTTGCATTGTTATTTACAAATGACATGGTAAAATTCTTGAAGAAAGTCAGTGCAGATTCCTGAAGTGAAGCTTTTAAGTTTCTGATGCAATCGTTCACTATCCCATCAATGATAAAACTAAAAAACTCCCACGACCACATAGATTGTTAACAAGTATGTTTACAAACCTGCGAAGACCATTCATCCTAATAGTGGATTGAAAATGCACTGTACCGGTAGGCCTAGATTTTTCTCCATTTTATACTTGACCTTGTTTCAAGGTCACTAGCAGATTTGCTCAGAGTAGTTCTAGAATATGGCCTATTCCCAAATATGTTAGTTCCATCCAAATTTGTCGAAAACTATGGCTTTTGTAGCTTCTTTAACTCCGAACTCGTCCGAGGCTTCATCCATCGACCAGTGTTCAATTTAAATTGAATTTTTTTATGCAATTAATCACACCAAATTTCAGTTCCGGCTAATTTAAATTTTGATTCACAATTCATAAAATTGCTCTAGTAATTGAAAATGATCTCGTTGCAGACACCTGTAGATCAATGTGGCAAATAACGTATAAAATATGAAGATATTAATAATAAAAATTATCATAGCATAATGAAAAAGAAGATACAGCTATTTTTAGATTTAGGTCCATCTATTCGCAGATGGTCGTGATACAATTTCGCTTATCATCGGAATTGGGTCGTAAAACGGACTTTTGACAAGGACACTGCGATGACGCTTTAAGTTAAGAGACAGTGCGAAAAGTAGACAGACAAATGACAGAATGACAGAAAAGAGAGGGAATAAAAATATAGAAGAAAGTAGAAAGAGGGGCAAAGAAACCTTATATAAGTAGAGAGAAAGGTTTAAGGAAAAAAAATAGAGAGAAAGAAATGATAGTGTGGGGGAGCAGAGAGAATAGATGGAAGAAGAGACAGGGGGGAAGAGATATATTAGAGAGTATTCGCTTAAATTGAGAGATACTCATGGTACCTCCGTGCATTACTTACCGTATTCTGAAAATCTTTGGTAGATGGCAGTTCCACGAACTGAATTGATGCCGACAGAGAATAAATATGGAGTCAATAATTTTCATAGATTTCCTCGTTGGTCAAATAAAATTGCAGAGGAGTAAAACGTTGCCAAGTTTCTTCAATATCGAAAGAAAAATCTACCGTCTATCACGTTTACAAAAATATTGACGTCCACATTACATTATTTATTTAAAAAACAAACAGATTGATGTTCAACCCAAATCGACAAACTACAGTGGTGCTTCTATGAATCATACGGTAAGGGGCAAAGTAGGAAAATGGAATTATCGAGGGTGAAGGTCACAGACTTTTCTTTCCCCGAATTTAAGTAATTTAAGTGACGGAGAGGGGGGAAGTCGGACGAGTTTTAGATTGGCTATTGGTTTAGAAATGATCCTCGAGAAATTTAGTTATTGTCATTGAATATTATGGTGGTTCATTTCTTGTACTTTGACGCATGCAGCATTGTTATGTGTCCTCACAAATGATCCGATATGCCATCGGACCCAAATTTATGTACGAACATTTGATGTACAGTGTGACGCAGCCTTTATGTACATCTGATATCAATTTTGACACAGTGTAACGGGGCTTTAAGAAATTGACAAATATATCTTACTCAGCAAAATTTTGTACAACTCGATTCATATAAGTCATGTCTTTATTGCTGTACGTCCCTAATTGTTTTGCTAAATTGTATTATCTCAGACCATTGCCCATCAATGGACTTATGTCCAATTTGCTATGGTTGTAAGGATAAAGCGAATAATGTGTAGTGATATATGTATCAAACCCAAATCTCAATGTTTTTTTAATTGAAATCCGTCTGGAAAGAAAAGATAAAATACGACAAACTTATCAAAAAGTTTGATTCTGGTCGACCTCTGTAGTGATTTATTTTATCTTTCAATTAAAATCAAGATCCCATACAACCAAATGAGTATATTTATATGTTAAATAATCTTTATCGTGTGTAGCTAATGTTTTTTCGGAAAGTAAGTCAGCGGAAAAACTTAGAATTTCTCTAATATAACTACATGAATTACTCCAACGGAAAATCATTCGGAATTAATTTTTGATGTGTCTATCCAGCCAATTAAGCAAACACATTATATTTGCTAGTCCAAATACATGTATAGCTTTAAACTAAGATTACTTCTATACCCATCTCGAACAGAATTACGACGAAAGCCCAGCAGAACCCCCAATACTTCAACAACCGAATCCTACAATCCTACCACTTTATAAAGAAGAATTCGAACCAGTTGACAACCTTCACTGGTCTCCAGAAACAGCAAACATAATTTATTTGTTTTGGGAAATTCAAACCACACGTAAGTCTTTAAAGATGAAAATGCCGAGAGGCCCCCACTAGGACAAAGGTAGTGAACTTGAGCCATAATATTCTGACCGTTTATCCCATCACCTAAAGTAGCCAATCTTTATTATCTACAACCGTCTATCGAACGATTTCAACCTAATGTTAGCTTAGCATATATTTATTCCGAAACCACCCTGCACGCTTTGCTAGAACCATATTTATACCTTAAGCAATGTGGAAACCACCCAAGGCTGCCATACATCCAGAAATATTGATAATTTTGCAAGTTAAACAGCCAGTTAGCTATCAATCACGCCTGAGAAGCATGAGTGGAGCGTGAAGCCTTGAATCTACTCAAGAAGGACGATGCCATTGTTATCAAAAAGAGTGATAAAGGTTAATGTGTCCTGTTGAATAGGGAGGATTATATTTATATTTCAGAAGCGAAGCATCAACTGAATAATCCTAAGCATTATGCTATTTTGGGAGAGTCGAGTTTTAAAGAAATTGCTTCAATGATCAACACAATTCTTAGCAATTTAGATAAAGCAGGTTTTCTTAAACAAAACTATATGATTACATTTATCTGCCAACCCTAATTGTCGTTAGAGACATTTATATACTTTACCCAAGATCCATAAGAATCCTGTCAAGGAGTGGTTTAACCCTGGAGACAACAACATAATTATGAAAGTTTTACTTATTAACACACGATCTTGTTTATTTTCTAGAGCTATAAATTTATACTTCGTGTGCAATGGCGTATGCCCCCCCCCCCCCCTCCTCAGACCAAAAATTTGCTCTATTTCACATGAAAATCGTAAGATTTGAGCATTTTTATGCCCAAAAAGTGATCGGGTATTTCCAGGATCAAAATAATGCTTTGTGAGATGGGAATGTTCAAGAAAGGAAATTTAAAGCTGTAACTTGTTCATATTTCGACGCCACCCATTAATATCGGTCTGAAGTCAATTTTATTGATATAGTTACTTCCCATATTAAATGTTATAGTGGAGAACAAGATGTGTACATTTTACTACAATATTCAAGTAATAACAAATTTCGTATTAATACCTGCAAAAGCTACCTGAATACATCCAATCCGAATCTTCGACAGATGGCCTGTAAACAATAAGCCACAATGTCTGTTTGTCGATGGGTCTGATTGGCTTTACTCAATGGCGTACGATCCACTCGCATAGCTTCATTCTGTGATACAAGAAAGGTAACATTGTGACATGTGATAAGATTTTGCTGTAACTTGATATGCTTAATGATAACTTATGGAGAAAATAGTTAAGTTGAACGACCGCTAGTTTTGTACATTGATCACACATCACATTCATTATCCAATCTCTCAAAAATTAGCATTTTTCAATACAGCAACAGCCATAGAGATAGTTGTTAGTACACCAACAAAAAATGCCACACCACGGACAGGTTGTCTGATAGGTATCAAGTAAGCCAAAGTGTGAAGTATTCTAGCTCCAGTAAAAATGCGGAAGTGAAGTTTAGCTAAGTAGAGATCTGGTCCGGTTAGTGTATACAGCAACCCAATCAAAACAAATGGTACAATATTCTCAAGATCGTTCAGATGACATCTGAAATTACAATAGAACAAATATAAACAATGAAATAATGCTACCCTTTATAAAAACTTGATCAACTTCCAAATAAAAAAACTGAACAAATTTACTATATGTAGTTATATATAAATTTGGACTATATCAAAAAAACTATAAAAAACAGACTGAAATCAACGGTTGTAACTGTCAAATTAGTCCAATTTCGATGTACCAAAATTAAGACATTTCATTTGAAAAGTGGGTGGGTAAATCACATTTCAGAAATTAATATGTTATAGGGACAGATGCCTTCTTACATCATATTAAATTGGTTTAAAATCTGCAGCGTTTACGAAGGCACAGGTATACAGACAGACATGGGTGCCGATGATATATACCCACATAGAGATGTGAAAACAGACATTTGGACTGCTTCAACATCATTCAAGACTGATATTCATACCAGATTTATCAGGTTGTATAAACATACCCAGAAAAAAATCGGTAAAAAAACCGACGATTGTACAGCATTTTGAATATCACAGAAAATTCTAGAGCATTTACGTGAAAATGTGAACGGTCGTACAGACAGACAATATATATATGTTCATAGACAGATGATTGTATGTGAAATAAAATAAAAACAGACCTTCTGACTCGTTCAACATCAGCATCATTCATGACTGGTGTCAGACGTTTTCCAGATCTCTCAAAACCTTTACAATCTTCTGGATTAGAAAACACCTAAAAACAGAGAAATATATGAGTTGTTCTGTAGTAGGTCAATAGAGGGCAAGAATCTTTCTAACATTGTCACAGTAAATTTGGCCACATTACAGTGGGGGTACAACTAAATCATAATGAAGAGCATGGCCTCCACATATGTGGACATTCATAGTTTTTCTCGGAGAATCATTTTATTCTTTAATTTACCTCTTAAACATCATTTCATATGATTTACTGTATCAGGCAACCTAATGATTGGGAGTTACCCCCCCTTCATGTGGTCATGTGACTCCTGACAAGATGGCCGAAGCCACATGTTCTCAGAAAGTCAAGCCTAGTCGAGGTAAGTTTTGATTCTGATCAGTTAAAGCAAAATGAATTATACCCAATTAGTGTTTTTTCATAGCAATATTACCCAGACAATCTGTATATAACAAGTGTTTCAAAATAAACAAAATTGAAAAAAAATTCAAGATCATTTATCCAAATGTCCACATATGTGGACATTAGGTCTTCGTCATATAAAAGTGCACCATATTACCCTAACCATTTTTTTCATTGTAGAGTGTAATCGATTTGCCCTGGATGATATTTTAGACTTACTAGATGATAATAATTCTGATTTGGAGCTGTCAGATGATAATGATCCAGACTATCTCGAAAATCCAGTTGACACTATCGATAATCAGTCTGAAGACGAAGATAGTGGAATAAATAACTCAGACGATGATGAGGGTGTGAATAATACAGAAATATTGCGACAACCATGGACACATACAGATGAATTTAAACCGAATTTGGCACCTTATGTAGAGGGCGAAGTTCATAATGATAATTTGACACCAATTGATTATTTTGAACAGTGCATCGATGAAAATGTTTTCGCAAATATGGCTCATTGTACGAATGTTATGTATGTTCAAAATTCCGGCAAAGAACTTAACACTTATCAGCTTGAACTTAAAAAATTTACCGGTATCAGTATTCTGATGGGTGCTTTAAAGATGCCGAGAATCCGTATGTATTGGAGGCAGAGAACTGCCGTCCCAGCCATAGTGAATGCTATGCCACGAGACCGATATTTCAAAATTCGAAATAGTGTCAAGGTCGTGAAAGATAGCGATGTTGACGACAGTTCAAAACGGGCTGACAAATTATGGAAAGTACGACCATTCCTCGAGCACATACGGTCAGTTTGCCTGAAGATTCCCAGACCGCAACATGTTTGTATATACGAGCAAATGATACCATTTACCGGCCGGTCCATAGTTCGTCAATATGTCAGGGGTAAGCCTAATCCTACTGGTTTGAAGAATTTTGTTCTGGCATCACCAGGGGGGACTGTCCTTGATTTTGACATATCCCAGGGAAAAGATGCTCTTCCTGGCTCAGAAAACGACAAAGTCACAAAATTAGGAATCGGTGGTCTTGTTGTGTTGCTATTGTCTGAATCATTGGTTCCCGGCAATTTGCTATATTTCGATAGGTATTTCACCTCACCAGCGTTGTTAGATGCCCTGTCTAACAAAGGTATATCAGCAACTGGCACAGTTATGAAGAGATACATACCTAAATCCGCCCATATTCCAGATAAGGTGAAAGGTGTTAGGGGCTCACATATTCAGGATGTCAGGTCTGATGAGTCATTGTGAATTGGTTTGACAATACACCTGTATTATTTGCTTCCTCTGCTTATGGCGCCATTCCAGAAGACATCCAAAAAGGATGGAAAGTATATCACGGTTAATCGACCTGCTATCGTAAAATCTTACAATGATAAAATGGGCGGGGTCGATCTTCATGATAGGATGATTTCGTTTTATCGATTAGCAGCGAAATCACGTAAGTGGACGATCAGAACAATTTTTCATTTCATTGCTGTTGTGATGATTAATTGTTGGATAGCATATCGAAATGATAAACTGAAGAACAGTCTCTTAGGAAAACACAAACTTGAATTTTTGGAATTCAAACTTTGTCTTGCAGAACAACTACTGGCTGCATCTCGTGAAGATTCCGTTATCCTGGATGCACAAGCAAAACTCGTGTTCGGTGTGTTAGGTGTAACCTTTTTCTCTGTGTCCAAAGCGATCGCAATTGCTTTCGAATGTTTCATACATGACAGTATCCCACAAGTGTTAACCTCATTCAAAACCAAACCGAGAATAACTTGTTATTTAAGTGCCAAAGTTGTTGCATGTTTTTTTATTATACGTTAACAGATAATATATATTTTAATTTTTAATTTTATGAAATATTATGTTAAAAAATTGTGATTATGTAGTTACAACATAAAATGAATTATAAATATAAAATAAAATGAATTATAGTACCAATACTGAATAGATTTGACTTCAATCTTTACATTAACTATTCGTGCAATAATTGGTAAAATGTACTAACGAAGACCCAATGTCCACATATGTGGGATCCCATATAAGGGTTCCAGATGATAAAAAACAAAAACGAAGCTGGGATTGTCTTAATTGGCCTCTAATTACCACTCAGTCAAAATTTCAATGAAAACAACAAAGTTAAATGTTCTGGGTCTGTAGAGGCTATTCTAACTTACTCCTAGACAAACTTACAAAAAAGGAAGGAGGAAACACTATTTCCTTTTTTATAAATGTCGATTTTTATACGCCCACATGAAATGGGGGGCCTATATTGCCGTTACCCATGTCCGTCCGTCCGTCCACAATTGCTCGTAAACACTCTACAAGACACAATTTGGTATGAGTGTTCGTAATCACCCAAGGATGAGCCCTATTGAAAATCAGAAGAAAAAAAAATATTTAGTATAAGTTATTGCCCTTGTTCTTGAAAACGGTTCAATTTTTAGCTCGTAAACACTCTAGAAGGGACAATTCTTGATAGATTTTAACGAAACTTGGCATGAGTGTTCGTAATCACCCAAGGATGAGCCCTATTGAAAATCAGAAGAAAAAAAAATATTTAGTATAAGTTATTGCCCTTGTTCTTGAAAACGGTTCAATTTTTAGCTCGTAAACACTCTAGAAGGGACAATTCTTGATAGATTTTAACGAAACTTGGCATGAGTGTTCGTAATCACCCAAGGATGAACCGTATTGCAAATCAGAAAAATCGAAAAATATTTATTATGAGTTATTGCCCTTGTTCATGAAAACGCGTTCAATTTTTAACTTGTAAACACCCTTGAAGGCACAATTCTTGACAGAGTGTGGGTGTTCGTAATCACCCAAGGATGAACCCTATTGAAAATCAGAAGAATCGAAAAAAAAAAAATTAGTATGAGTTATTTCCCTTGTTCTTGTAAACGCGTTCAATTTTTAACTTGTAAACACTCTAGAAGGGACAATTCTTGACGGATTTGACGAAACTGGGCATGAGTGTTTGTTATCAGCCAAGGAAAAACCCTATTGAAAATGAGAAAACACTGTCAAATTTAGCTCTAAAACACTAAAAGGCATGATTCTTACTGGATTTTGACAATACTTGGTTTTATTATTCAGTCCCCCGCTGAAGATTAAATATTTGCCTTCTAGAGTGTTCACGTGCTAAAAATTGAACACGTTTTCAAGGACAAGGGCAATAACTCATACTCAATATTATTCAGTATCGCCCTAAAGAGTTCAAAAGAATCATACTTGTGATTGTTACCGTAAAGCTAAATATTTTTTATTCAAAATCAAAGCTGTCACTGGTCGTTATATTACATTGCCTGGCAAGCTATCCGAAAAAAGTGTTTCAGTACTTTAAGTTCATGCTGTATTAAATTTAAAAATCCGTACAAACAAAACAATAACAGTAACCAATACCGAAGCATAATACAATGGGGAGCAATAATTGTATAATAGTGGACTATTCAAACTAGAAGTACCATTAGGTCTTTCGAAAAAAGTTCGTATGGTCTGCTTCGTGCTCGACATTTACCACTACTATATTGGTCAAAATGAGATGCAACCAAACTATGTCTCAACTCCTACAATAAACGGGGCCCCCTGTGCTACAGGCTGTGCTAGTTAAAGGTACCTCGACAGTTGGAAATCCGCTGTCCTAACAAATTTTCCTTCAGTGCCCACTGCATGGTGTTGTCCGTCCTAGGAGTAGGAAAACTCCATTCATTTCATTCACTTTTTGTAAGTCCATGTGTAGCACACCGGTACGTAAACCATATGAGTAAAATTTGTATATAATGATCCGGCGAATCCGAAGTGTTCGACATTACCAACAGCTATCATAAGTCCTAGTTTTTAACCCCAAGATCGGAGATATGCAAATAACTTTACTGTTTTTTTTTCTCTTACCTTTTTTGTTAGCCTGTAAAAAGCTGTAGCAAAACTCATAAACATCATTTTCAAAATAACAACGGTGGCATAAAACAGGAAGGAAGACAAGACAGGATCGGTACTGGATACAATAGCCATGTTGAACGTTCGTATATATCGAAAAGACCACCGATCAACAGTAATATACAAGTGCCCTAGATTTTAATAATAAAAGTAGGCTACTTTTTATCACGTGACATGCTTGATAACAAAATTGCTGGGTCACTGTAGAAAACAGTGACATGTACAGTGGTGTAACCTGTTTTCGTGCATATAAGGATTCAACACCAAATTTCGTCAAATTTAATGAAAGGAAAAAAAAATTGTGTCTTGATTAAAATTGGTTTGTTTCGATTTTATTTATGAATCCTTCACTTTGACCCATATTTCACGACAACCAACTCGGCAACGGCGGCAAACTGCGTCACCTATTTTCGTGTACAATGTCCTCTACCATCTTATCATCTCTATCCTTTGGTTAATTGCCACCCGTCTGGGTCTTTGCTTTATTGGTTCAGCGCGGCCAACATTTATTGTGTGTTTCACAAGTCCTGTTTTTCCAAGATCCGCAGATGAAGAGGCAAACAGATCATGATGTCTTGTAAGTAAGTGCTCGATCCAACCCTTCACAAGCTCTAACCCACAAGTCCAGAACATGAGGTGGTAACTGGGTGTCTGCGATACTCTTACTGGAACTAAGTCACCAACCGAGGTGTTTTTATAAACAAAGACATCATAATCATTTGCATTGAATAACCCAAGGGTTATCATCATGTATATCACAAATAACTTTAGCCGACAAGATTCGCTTTTCTTTATACAGACGTTCAATGGGTTCTATCATTACATTCCGATACTTAACTAATTTGACACATTTCAAAGGGATATATCCATTAACAACCACCTCATGTCCAGATGGAACACATGTATTTCCACACAGAGACACACGACATATACTAATAAGTTCTTCTAGATGAGTTTCGTATGTATTACCATTCAACTTTATCGTCTTTCTTTTCAGATTGATGGTGCCTTCTTTGGCATTCATAAAATCCAGTCCAAGAATGAAAGAGCCAACGTCAGCTACAACCAATGTATGGGAATAGTTATGACCATAGATTTCAATTAAAAAATCAGCTTTGCCATAAATTGTCATAAGCCCACCATTCGCTGTACTATATCTAGCAGCCACATATTTTAGTTCTGGTCGATTATTTCGTAGAACAGAACCGAAGAACTTCTTTGATGAGAAATTTATGGTAGCCCCAGTATCAATAAGGGCATTTACACTTACTGATTGTATGATACTTTTTATGTGAAGACCAGTTTCATTGGGGGTGCCAAAGGTTCTTTTATTTGTACGACTACCATGACCCGAACGAGCATGGTGCCATCTTTTGTTATCGTCATAGCGCTGATTTTTAACACTTCTATTTCCATTTGTCGCCCCTCTACTGGTGTTATAATTATTGGTATTACCAGGAGATTGGTTTTTATTCTCAGGTTGTTTTGTATTTACCACACTCATCTTCCGTTCGTCACTTTTGAACTTCTCTAATGACGCGTTCATATCACTGATTTTCTTCTTCTTGTAGCTCAACTAACTCAGGTGGTGTATCTACACTTCGGATTTTCCCAGGCTGAGTGTCACAGGCGGCACGGTGTGCCTCTAACTCTACGGCTAACCTTACAGCATCCTCAACATTTGTTCTCTGAATCTGCCACGCCATATTTCGATCATCACAAAGAGCATCACAAAAGTCATCCTTTGCTAAAATTTGAAGTAATTCACTATCAGCAGATGGATATGACATTGTCACCAAACGCTTTACTGCTTCCTCAAGTTCGGGCAGACTTTCTTTTGGTTTTCTTTATCGGGCCTTCAATTGGGCTCTGTATAATTGACACTGATGTTGGGGTAAAAATCTGTCTTCAAAAGCACCGATAATTTTTGAATAAACTTAACGATCTTCTACCTTTAGGCCATACCAAAATAATATTCTGTTCGTCGGGAATTCCGTACCCGATTTTCCGTTATCGAAATTTTATTTTTAAAATTAAAAAATAATATTCCGTATGTATCAAAAGAGCTCCCGTATGTAAAATTTTGAAAAAAGAATTTTTAATTTTAAAAAAAAAATATATTGCCCGTATGTCCGTACCTCTAAATTGATCAGATAACATGATTGTTTAGCTCTCTTTTTTAGTTTCATTTTTATTTCTCTAAGCCTAAAATTTGGTAGCAGGAGTAACAAATTGCACCCTCTATTTCCGTTTGTCAGTTTGTGGACATCGTGCGACGATTATAGTAGAACATGTTCCAGCTGTTGAAAGAGTGAGTTCGCACAGTAGTTTAGGCCCTTCGCTGAAGCAAGAACGTTTTCTCGACGACCGAACGCATCGAAATTCCGGAAGTTGATAATTATCAGAAATAGGCATGACCGATGCAGTGCTAGAATTAATATCTGTATTTGTCTTTTTTACCAAAATGATTTTAGTAATCAAAATTAGGTCACACCAGAAACTTATTTTGCCATACATGACGTTTGATGTTGAGCCTGAAAACACTTTTAAAGATGTTTATGATCTGGCATCTGCAGGAATTCAATCGTGCATATCACAGATCCCAGAAAAAGTGTACATCAAGGACAATATGGAAAAATCAGGCGGTGTCATGGTTACACTTTCGTTGAAAATTTCTCTGTGTGATGAACTGAAATCCAAGTTTGAGGACTTTTTAATTAACTTGCCTTCTCATTCTTCGTCTGAAGAACCTGTTTGTAATACTTCCAAAAGTGATAAAAATGTGTTCGATTTTATGATGGCATCAAGAAAGACATTAATGTTTCCTGAAAAACCTACACCACCAGTCTTTGACAAAACCTTAACTGGACCTCAAAAACTATTTTGTGATGTGCTAGATTGGTGCAAAACAATTGATGATGGCGGGTCAAAAGACCGGTTAATCTGTGCAAAAGAAATTTTGTGGAAGATTACAAATTTTTTGAGGTATGTCGATACGCATTATACTGACATACTGACACCTATTATTATTTTGTATTGTTAATTTTACACCATAAATAAATACTATTAATTGTTATTTTATCTGAATACATTCAAAATCATCCATGCTGGAAAATTTTAATGGTACGAAGCGACTTTTTTTTTAAAAAAATTAAAAAATATTATATTCAAATCAATGATTACTAACTTTTAGACATTTTTTTTTATATTAAAAAAAAATTTCGTTCGCTCGGACCTTAACGACGTCAACACTTTCTGGGCACTGCCCTTTACACTAGGAATCCGGCCCAAAAGTAACGTTGTTTGATTTGTTGTAACCAACCCCCGCACTCACACCTTGTTTTAGGTAAGTTTTCTCATCAAACACCTCACTTCTATATATTTCCATTTCCTTAGACAGATTGTCGAATCTGTCAAATAATTTTGCAGCAAAGTCACCACTGATTCCGCCTACCATGGACCCTGCCCCATTTGTATTCACTACTTGTTCACTATTAGACATATTATTCACAGAATCGGGCGATGTTTTTGTTGCTGCAATTTCGTCAATTCTCTTTCTTTGCAGTTCCAATTGTTCCACTGTTGATAACTGATGCAGTATATTCGCTTCTAAGTTACTAGATGACACCTCTTTAGACGAAACAGTACGTGGAGGGTTTGATGATCCGAGGCTATTGTTTGGGGCACAGGCACTGGCTTCATATCGCTGGTTATTATATGGACACAACACAGGGGTGGGGTCACATATATTTGTAAAGTCCATGTCAAGTAAGGTATGTCTAGTCATTCAAGCACAGGGCGTTGCTCCAGAAACCACAGAATATTTTGTTTGAGAATTGAGATATCACTTATCCCACCTCTGCCACCAAGAAAACCCTATATGTAGCGTGTAACTGGATTATAATCTGTCCTTCATAATATGTATATCATTTGCTGGTGATTTAACATGTTTATTAAGAGAATATAAATATTCTAGGCACCTTTTTGAATTATTAGAATTGTTCAAAGAAGTATCTGGATTGAGTAAATAAATTTAAATATATTGATACAGTTATTTCAAAATGGAGCACAAGAAACCTTACTCTTATAGGAAAAATTCAAGTTATAAAATCCTTTATGTTACCCAAAATTTTGTATCCATCGAAAGCTATAAATATACATGAAAAAATAATCAAAAAGTTCAATGAAAAAGTTTATAAATTTCTATGGAACGGTTCATATAAAGTCAAAAGGAAAATAATAAACCAAGATATACAAAATTGTGGTTTGAATATGATCGATCTAAATTTATTTCTAAAATGTCAAAGTATATTTTGGATAAAAAAGTTTTTGTTTGATAAGTCAACGATTTGTTCTACAACTTTTAACTTAATTCTAAAAAATTATGGAGGTCAACTTCTTTTTGCCAGTAATTATGACAAAAACATAAAAATTAACATACCTTTCTATAATAAATTGCCTCAGGACTGGAAATTTATTTATACTAGAAGTATTGATCATTACAGAAACTTACAGAACCAAATAATATGGAATAATAAAAACATCTTATTCAATACTTATAATTTGAAATTATTCATTAAAGGTATAATTCATGTTGAAGATGTTCATACAATATCTACAAATTTTACCTTGTCCGAAAATCTTATACAGAACCTCAAAAGTATAGTTTTAAAATCAACTAAAGAAAATGACAATATATTACAGCCTATCGTTTTTCAAAATATACTAGATGATATTGATAAGTTGATCAAAAAAATATATAGTAATACATTAGATATAATTAAACCAAAAATGTATATGACCATTTGATCAAACGTGAATATATAACTCCTAAATCTATTGCCAAGTGGCAAATTCTCATAAAACAACAAATAGATTACAAATATGTGAAAGAAATATTTACAATGAATTTTACCGTTTGCTCCAATTCAAAATTACGAAATTTTCAATATAAGTATTTACATCGAGTACTATACACCAATGAAAAGCTTTTGAAATGTAAATTAACAGAATGCTCACTTTATACATTCTGTAACTCCTGCCCTGAAACGATTGAACTTTTTTTTTCTATGTCCTTATGTTCAAGTTCTCTTAGGTAAATTAAATGAAATTTTATACACAAGTGAAATTAGAAATAAATTATCTTCAGAATATTATCATTTTGGAATTGTGGACAAAACGAAATTCAAAACCAAACCACAGTGGCTCTTTGCAAACCACTTAATATATTTGACAAAATATTATATTTACAAATGTAAACTCTTATATATTGACCCTAGTAAATTCGACTTTTGTATATATTTGAATAAAGTAAAGAATTTAGAATTAAACACATATCCTAATTCAAAAATTTACATTGAAAAATGGAAAGATATAGAAGCTTTTTAAAGACCCCTCTAAATGTCACAAATACCCATAAACAACGTGTCATGTACTTTATAGATTAAAGATGTATGAGATCTATAGTTAAATTTGTTTGATGTAGGATTGAAACCCTAGCTTTATATATGTTCTGTATGATAATGTAAAATGTATAATAAATTGTGTAAAATAAAATAAAATAAATTTAAAAAAAAAAGGAAAAAAAAAAACTTCTGACGACTAATTTTTTTAAGATCAGATTATGAAATATGTTGGATTTGATCATGTCAATTTTGGTGGCTAGCTGTGAATCATAATGATTCTTAAGTGCCAAGTAGTTATAGTCTTTTCAGATTGAACACACATAGACATAAAACGTTCCATTTCATTCCACGTATTTATGCCTATGTGCGTTCAATCTGAAAAGACCCATCTATTCCCTTCATAATGTACACACATATATACCTTATATTTCACCATACAAAGTCCCGTCATAATACACACCTATTATATCCCTTATATTTCTCCATTACCTTCAAATTACATATCCCCTCCTTTTTTAAAATGATTTATTTATATAAAAACCTTGTTTAAAAACAGGATGAATTTAATTTTAAAACACGAACAACACAAATTCGAAGGAGATGGATTCTTCTCAGCTCTATCATCTCTCATCCCAAAAGTAGCCAACTTTGTCTCAAACAACAAATCCCTTATTTCTCCTGGAAAGATCTTGGATCTGTAGCAAAAGCAGGAGTAAATATAAGCGATGCAGTGAAAAGATCTAACGAGTTAAAAGAATTACAACATATAAGAGAAATGCGAAATAAAAGATTAGAAAACAAAAAAAGGCAATGGTTTTAAAATTATTGGATAAAAATGTCAATGATAATTTCTCAAACTCCTAAAACTTATTTCGGTTCTGACATTCAAAAATCATTAGGTTCTCTTCCCGGATTTCCATGGGCAAAATACCCCGGAGAAAAACATCTTCCAGGTCATAATTACACTGGTCCAGGTACAAGGTTAGATTTCGGGGAAGGGAGGGTTTGATTCTCCCAAATGTACAGGCCTAGGGTGGAGCAGACACTTTATTTAGAAATTAGGATTAAGGGTCTTGATATTGGGTTTTCTTCTGTTCTTATTCTGATCTGAAATTAGAAAAAATAACTCGCCCGATGGGCGAGAAGTATAGTATCTGTTATGTACTGATTGTTTTTAGTTTACTATGAACAATATTATCATTTAAGTTCTTATTTTTTGAATATGCAACTATCATTTTCTGCTTATAGACATGGGGGAATTTCTCTTGAAGGCTCTTATAGTGGGCATGAACTATCTTTG